CTACACTCAAGGTTTCAAAACACGTTCAATTATAGCCCCAGTGGGCGCCTTTACACATGCTCTGGAGTGGGGTAGCTTAGTTAGAGCAGCTCTTGGGAGCCGCTGTAGTTAAAGCTCCCCCAGCGTCTTGTGTACTCCACGTTCTGCACTTCAGCAGGGGCACTTTAATGAAAGCTTGTTTGGTGAGCTTTTGATAAAGCAGCCCCGCTGCCATTTTGAAGCCTGGGGCTGCTGAATACACGAGACGCTGAAACTGCTGGAACATGCTAATGATCAGGCATGATTAATCAAGTCTGTTCTGATGTGTGCTAATTAGCACACATCAGAGCAGGTGCCTGGCATGTGTACAGGGGCTCTTTACAACTCGTGATTGCAACTTTCCTGGAAAAAAAAAATCATACTACTTAGATTTCCTGGCCTTTCCTATCTCTGAATGGGAATTTTGTAGGGAAAATATGAGGAAAATGCCTTCACCTAATTCCTATGCCTTCACCATACCTTTGTTGATTGTATCCTTCAGGTGAAATCTGGGCCCTGTTTTATAGTCGTGTAGGGCATATTACAGACATGAAATGCTCTGGGTTTTTTTGTACAGTGAAACCAAAAGGGGAGCCTGGTAGATATAGGTATGGGGATCTGGCTCAGGATGATACGTTGTGAAGTACTCTGCTGTGGAGAAGTACTCGGCCTCGAAGACACCGCAGCTGGAGTGCTGCATCCAGATCTGGGCACCGCACTTCAGGAAGGATGTGGAGAAGCTCGAGAGGGCCACGCGCATGATCAGAGGCCTTAAGACCAGGTCATACGATCTGTAAGGTGCCTTCCAGCCCCTAACAACTATGAAACTATGAAGAGGAAATAAACACTTTTTGGTATTTCAAAGCAATTAACTGCAACTTTTTAAAAAATGAATTTAACAAAAGTAGCTGTGGTTAAAAAACTAAACCTTGCGATTAGGGAAATAATCCTTACCAAGCCCTGACACCTTCAGTAAACTTGAAAGACAAATTGTCTTTGGGTCAACAAAGTTATGACAAATCACACCGAATTCAAAATCACACTGACTTTGTGTATTACCAAATGTTGTCAAATATTCAGGTGCTGAATTCATACGTGAATTTTGAACACATTCACAAATCCCAGCTATTGTTTTTAAGTTTGGCTCTTCCTCCTACCCTTTTACAGTGACTCGGAGTATCCGGGCTCTACTGTGGGTGAAATGTTACGCAAAATGTAAGTATTCTGCCACGATACGGTATTGTTTCTCTGGGTTATGCTTACAAAATGCCCACTACAGTTTTGCTCCTCTCCTGCAGAATAGCTGCCTTATTTTAAGAAGGGGAGAGTCTATCTGTTGGGGTGTTCACATCTACATCTGATTTCTCCACTGGCCTCTCTCTTGACACTACTAAGCAAAGATGACATGCATACCAGTGATATCTTTTGTGAGGTTAATACCTATTCATTGTGAACTAGATAGGGACCATGGCCTTTAAAGTTTGACCTTCGCTAAAATGTATATACAGCAGTTGGCAAAAATCTAAATGTTCCAGTAACTGCAAAAGCCATAAATTCAAATGTTGACCTTTTCCATCCAGGTCATGTGTGACACCTACTGGGTTTTGTCAGACTGTGTGGAATTTATAGAGTGCATATAGGTATCAGCTGTGAAAGTTGAACTCCATGAAATATCTTTCACTGGCAGTCATTTCTAAACCCTTTGTAAAAAAAGTGAGTATCCGTCTTCTAAGGCCACGGTATGCATATGTGCTGGACACATGTTTTCAAAGGTCTTAATTAGCCCTTTTTTGTGATCCCTAATCACTTATTAAATTGTAACTCTTAACTCACTACTTCTAACAAAATATATTTTACAGAAATCAAGCAAGGCATATAATTGTTCCGATTACAGAACTACAGTGACTCCTTTCTAGGGCTGTGGGATATTCTGAAGCTCTTCCTCATGTGCTCCTCTATGTCCCACTCCCAAATAAATTGTATTGATGGCCTATTGTCAATCAAGGAAATGGGATTTGATAGCACCCTAAAGCAGTCATGAAATAAGGGAAGGAATACAAAACCTGCTCAGGTCCACACCATCTGAGTGAGATCAATGTTTTCAGTAATATGCTTACCGTCATGTAGCACCCTAACTGTTGCAATTAATAATGTAGAAGAAGCTGATTAACTTAAGTAAAGTGCTCTCTACTGTGTAAACACATAAAGATCTATAGGGCAAAAAAGGAAGGAAAGAACAAAACGTCATTTTTATTTTTTATGTGGACACGTTCTCGCTTTCCATTCTGCTCTTGTAACAATTACTGTACTAGCCACTCTGACAGAGTCAATAAATCGATCTGGGACCTGATGCAGCAGCAAGGCAGACTAATCCAATACCCCATTATCTGCAGTGGAGGTTGGGGGTGGGCATGAGGTGGGCAGGAAATTGGTTGGGACTAATAAAAACAGTAAAAGATGCATAACTATCATCTCACTTTATGATCATATGTTTGATATAAGGGGGCCAGCGTGCGTTTTTGTGTGTGCGTATGCGCACACGAACATGCATGCACCTGTTTGAAGAAATCTGTATCTGCAAAAGGGAAAGTGTTTGAACAGCCCACACTGTATTACCAAAGTCCCTGTAGTATTTCAGTCAGTCACAAGGATCTGCAATTCAATGAGGATCACCACCCCACTAGAGTTTATCATGTCAGTTGTGCATCTGATAGAAAAGCCGCTCCAAAATATGCTCCAAGGGTTGGAACGTGCTCTTGCATCATTTCTTTATCCTGCAGGCTTGATAGTACCCCCTTGACCCTGCATGCAGACAAAAGCAAACCGGAAAAAAACTCCCCAAAACTTTTACTAGTTTTAAAACAAGTTCTTCCACAGTTGGGTGTCCCTCTCTAAGCCTTTTCAACAACATACAACCATAAACAGAGGCACAGTTATGTTCGAATAGACTAATGGACTGCCTAGTTCAGCATTATTTCTCTAACATTGGCTGGTGTCTTATGCTTCAGACGAAGACACAATAATCCCCACTGAAGAGAATTATGTAACTGGCCAGGCGGATGATTCTGTCCCAACTCCAGGCACTGAGTAGTTAAATCCACAGGGAACATGGGATTTTTTAAAAACTAAGTTTCCAGCTGAACTTAAAAAAAAGAAAATGATGCTTGTTATTTGAGAGGTTCTAGGCTGCGGCGGGGGAGCAGGGTGGTACAGGCACAGGTGGCATCCCAGAAGTCGTAATTTTGAGGCCACGGCAGAAGTGCTCGTAGTGCCGCCTGTCAGATTCCAACAAATCAGTGAATTGTGCTAAAGACCCTGTCACAAGGTTACAAAATAGGAAAGGAAGGCTGAGGAGAGCAGGCGTTGCCATGAAAAAGCACAAAATCATTCCTTTTTTCGAGCAACTACTTCTCTAGCAAAAGGTTAACACAGCTTCTAGAGAATTTAGTAAGAAATCCAATCTTTCCAGCTCATTCATCATATTTCTGCATTTGCCAACTCTCCCCACCAGGCACTGCCTTGCTTCTCCTCTCCCCTCTTTCCTGTGGTACATAAAGTAACACCCATAAAAAAAAAATCAAAGAAAGGATGGTGTTCAAACACACTTCTTACATATTATAAGCGGAGAAAAATGTAATAAGTTTAAGTCTTTGGCTTACGGGTCCATTGTAAATAATCATTTCCTACATCCATGGACATTGGAAGTAGATTCCTAATGGAGTTTGAACTACACGGCCTGGTATGCAAAGAGGAGGAGGAAGAAAAGCATAGTACAAAATATGCCTCTGCTTGGGAGTTATTCAAGCATTTCTAGACTGGTTTGGCTCATATGTACTTTGAAGATAAGGCCACATCATGATCCTGACAAGTCTTCCATAAATCTTTCCCCTCGTGTAATACAGGCCTTCAACTTGAAGTGTGCCGTTCTTCTCAAGGGCTGAATGGACATCACTTGGGGCCTCTGTATGCTGCCCAGTCCATGAGAAGAAAAGGGGGCAGCCTCAGATCTAAGGCCACCTTGGCACCCCCACTCTGTGCTCTATGCTACCGGGGGGCTTTACAGCCTGGACACCCACTACACTGGGAGCTGGTGGCCACATGCAGCGTTTGTGTAATCACAGACTCGGTGGTCACGCTAGCGCAGCATGCGTGCTATCCGCTCCCACCACGTGGTGGTATCGCTCTGGTTCTAATCCAGTGGGGATGTTCGCTGCCCAGTATTTCTCCTGATGAATTTCCCCAGAAGAGAAAACTGGTTTTAAATACAACGTGGTGGAGGGAGCAGTACAGGGACAAAAACTGAGTATGTGTTCTTCTCTGGACTTTCCAAGTTCTGAGAGCTGCAGATGCTGCTGGCTCTGCAAAAGGGCAGTCTTTTCAGGAGGAAGGTCATCCTGCCATAGTTGGGGAAACTCTTTGCCCCGACTTAAAAAAGCACCCTTCAGCCCAAGAAGTCAGGGGGAAACTCTAGTAAAGGAGAACTCACATTTATGAACGTCTCTCTGCTTGCTCAGCAGTTCCCACTCGTGTCTCCCTTGGTGAGATCCACGGTTCACTGGTATGCCCACAGACCCAGGGCAGGTATCTGGTGCATGGGTTTGAAGGCTGGTACATGGGTTTGAAGGCCTAAAACTGATCTAAGTCCCAAATGACAGATTGTGAATGGTTCCTCTATGCCTATCTTTTCAGAGCACAGTGCCTTTCCTTTCCTCTCACCTTGCTGCTAGTATGGGGCAGACGGCAGATTACTGTTGGGTCCAGGAGAAGTAGGGGCTCTGGAGAGAAGCATTCAAATAAGCTAATGTGCTTGGGAGACAAAGTCCCTCTACGACTCTACTGTTTAATCAGGAGAGGATCTACTCCCAAATTCAAATGGACACTCAGTGCATCTCCTACGTTCCTCCTTCTCTCTTCCGCTGCATTTCCCACCGAGAGGACAGGCGTGCTAGCCGTGAAACCAGGAAGCATGCTCTACAGCAAGGTGTTTCAGAGCCATTGCTTTTGTGGGCCTGCTGCTATGGAAATTGCTTTGTGATGTATGGAGCTCTCAGGGGGCTGACTTGGCAGAAATGCATTTTCATAAATTAGTGCTCTCATCTCCCTTTGTGCTCAACCACAAGGCTACATTCAGACTTCAGGACCCAAATGGCCTGAATAGGGGCAGAAACACCTAATATATGTGAGTGGTGGGAAAATAAATCTATGAAACCTACAAACAGGGCAGGCTTGACTTACTAGTGGTTCAGCTTGGGACTCAGAAAACCAAAATAACCAACATTTTTCCTAGGGCCTTTCCTACTCTCCAAGTGCCTTTTGTAATGTGAAATCCGCATGCTCCTGCTACACTTTTTTATGAGCACAAGCTGCCGTTACGCAAAGCCCTGGCTCGGTTGGTAGCACTTTGCAGTAATATGATGGGATCCTGCGCCTGGGAGCGAGCTCTGGCTTCCTGCTGCGAGGACCAGCAGAGGCTACATGAATTACTGCGGTAATGCACAGCCCCAGGGGAACGGGAAAAGGAGAGAAGGGTGCGCCAGGGGAAAGGGCAGTTCATAGTTCTCCCTAGAGCCCCAAACAGTTGCTCAAGAGCTGCAGCCACATGAACTTCAGGTAAAAACGGTCTCTTTACTGTCCCTGCTTGGAATGGAGCAGGACAGGCTGAAGGAGGAGTTATGGAAGAAGCAAAAACAGAAAATCCCTATCAAGTAAGCCACATATTTTACTTAAGAGAAATGGTTTGCAGAGGTTTCTTTTCTCTATAAGCTGTCAATGGAAACTAGGCATAAAACAATATGAGCTGGAGGAATGACAGCTCTCTAGAGCTGCACTGGCTTTCTATTCAAGGTACTGACTTTGATCTATGCAATCCCATACAGGTTAGGTCTTAACAACTTGCAGCTTTTCTTCTGCCTTCCCACCCCCAACAGGAGCTGCCATACAGCTGAAGTCAGCTGGGTCACCTGTGCTCCATTTTTTACGATTAAGTGCCTAGGAAGTGATAATTGACTGATATCATGGGAGGGTCATCTGCTCAGGAATTTGCCTCCCTTGCCTGCTTGATAAAGCTCCCATCCACTAGTATACAGGATACTGTACAGAGGGCAAGGGTCTTCTTTTCCCCCTCCCCCTCTTTCTCAAGACTTTGCTTGGAAATACTGCTAATGGAAAACTGCAGGTGGTTTTTAGGGTATCAGCTGAGACTGAGAAAGGGAAGCAGGTTCTTGAGGAGAAGAGAATCATACAGTTGGATTCATATAAGTACCTGAGATATAAAATACATGATGTTTAGAAAGAGAGAAAATCTATATAAAAGAAAAGCCCTTGCTATTTACTATGGAAAAGACTGAAGATAACAGACCTAAAGCAACACTATACCCATACACCAAACAGCAATAGCTCCTACTCCTGATTCATTCTCCCTCTTTCTAACTTGCCAGAGCACAGGATTTCTCCCAGCATACAGCTCTGGGCCTGCTACTCCTTTCACTGGCAATACAAAGCACCTGTAGTTTTAAAGCTACTATTTTGTAACTGCTACTGCTAGTTTTCTCTCTCCCAGTGAATGTGCTGCTTGGGTTTCTTATGCTTTTGCTTTTCATTGCTGAGGAAAAGGTATAACTTTAGTAAGTTAATAACTTAGTTTTTTCTCTTCTCTAGCAAGATTTTATTTCTATGTCTTTGTTTCTTTTGGGGGTGGCAGATAAAATATGGGTCTTCGCTAGTCCTATAATAGAAATGCATGTTCAAGAGGCTAGATTTTGTGGTCATTTATGTGCATCTAGAAGTGACTTCATTATAACTAATGGAACGACCGTGGTCTCATCTGTCACAGTGAGAACTGATTCTGGCTTAATGCTTATAGTCTGATTCCACTTTAGGAACCAGTATGAGAAGTAGGAATGGCTCTGTCTTGATCGTGTCCTAGAAGTGAATGTGGGCAGCTTCCTTTGGAATAAGCATCTGCTTCTGTGTTTAACAAATATCTGGAAGCCAAACGGAGCAAAGTTATACTGGGCAGGCATGCTAAAGTTAACTGGTGTTCTTCTCTAAAGTCGCTGAGGCTCTATGGTGTCCCTTTCCCCTCCTTTAATATAGCAGAGGAGCAGTGTACTTGTAGCAGTTTCCACCTTTTTGTCCTGAATCTGCCTCGTTGCCTGGAGCATGAATTTTGCCCGTGTTTATAGCCCAAGGCTTACCAGCTTTCAGCTTCCAAGGTATGTGCATGCTGCATTAAATGGATTTGTGGCTCAGGAAGTTTCTACTGAGTGAAATGCTGCACTTCCCAGAAAGCTGAAGAGATATTGCATAGTAATTGGTGATCAGTGAAAAAGGAGTTGTCTGACGCTGAATTTGTATGCTTCTGAGCCAGGAAAAACCCTGATTTGTGCCATCTTTGGATGAATCAGCCAGCATTACATATGGACAAGCACCAGTTTAACAATAATGATGATAATTGCTATTATAATAAAAAGGTGTGGCTTGCCTGAGCCAATAGTAGTTAACACAAAAAAGCGGGTGGTCAAAGTAGGTTTGGTGTCACTAGCCTGACTGACTATGCTGATGGCAGGTCCTTTGTTTCATTATTCTTTTTCACAAGAGAAAAAAAATGACTTGGTCCACAGGCATGTATAAGCCACTTGTAGATTAGTGTCTCATTAATGGGTGGTATTTTACCACCTTTCTTTTTCTTGGCAACCTAAGAGATGTATCTGTTACTTAGTCATGTGGTATCTGGACCAGCTTGTTTCTGAAACCATAGGTTATGTATCCCAGGCATACTGTATTTCTGATTTGCATATGGCAAAGGCAGTTAAAAAGCTGAAGCCCTTGTACTGCTTGCAAGTCAAGCGGCTAAAGTAAATGATTTATCAAGTGAAGGTTACAACACCTGTGCCTTTTTGTCAACAAATATAGCCTATGCCAAGTCAAGTGATTCCTTTAATAGCCCAAATAGTAATTCAGTTTTAAATAGCCCTATAGATGGGACAATTCTGTGGTGAGCTGTTGCAGCACCGTGAGTGATGGGGGAAATGGAGGCAGTGTTTGGGTTTGCAAAACTGTTGAAACTGCTATAGAGACTATTTTTTAAAACTAGCATTGCAACAGTTGTTGAACAGAAGCACTGAAACAGAGCCACGGAGCTACACCTGTTAGCGCTATGGGTTTTTTCTGTCCCAGATTTGTACTCCTAGCATAGCAAATACTTCTGCATCAACCTATGATGACAAAAAAGTAACTAATTTCTCTAAAATGTCTCGCTCAAGATACTGACTTGTATTTTAGGAACTAAACTAGAACAGGTGGTTAACAGAAATATCTACTCCCGATTTTCACATAGGCCACTAAGAAAGGCACATTCCTCCTTTTGTTTAAAACTAGTACAAAGCAATCCCTGCTCCAGTCCAACCACACTGCTGCAAATTGGTCAACTCCTTTATTTCACTGCTGTTTGAATCCCTTGAGTGTCCCGTCATGTATAGGGTGGCCACTGACAGTCACTTGGTGAGGGTTAGGCCCCTTTGGCCAATCAGCGGTGAGAAGTGGGGCTGTATCCTTGGCCAATCAGCAGCAAGAGGTAGGGCCACCAGACGTCTTGGCCAGTTAGCAGCAAGAGGCAAGGCCACCATGTCCCTGCCTCCCTGGCTGGCTTGGAGCTCCTCTCCTCTTGGCTCTACCTCGAGGCACAGCCAACAGACTCATAAGGACAAATGACTGAAACGTACTTCCACCACTGAACTGAAAAACAGGGCTTTGCTGTCCATTCCCCATTCAGAAATGGACAGGAGACAAAGGACTTAAAAACAGGACAGTCCGGTATAAAACAGGACTAATGGTCACCTTAGTCTTGCGACATGTCTGCTACTGAAACAGTACTTGCATTGTTGTGGACATGCTAAATCCTTAGCAATCTGAGATCAAGGACTGCAGACATGCAACCACAAATAGGAGAAGAAAATACGTAGCTTTTGAAAGTTGCCTCTAATGCGTCCCCCACCGAATTTCTCAAAGCTTGGATCTGGATCAGAACTTCCACAAAGGCCAGAAATCTTCAGATCCAGAATTTGGGTTTAGGCCCATCTGTAGTATGGAGGCGTTAAGAGAAAACTCTGTTTCCTTACACTGAACTGAAGCTGATGTTAAAGCTACGAGTTTGACTTCAGAAGTACTCAATGCTCCTACTGAAATGCAAGTGAATTGGGGGGTGTCAATAACTGCTGGACATCAGGCCACACAAGTCCTAACCAGTATGCACTGTAAAAATCCTGATGGAAAACAGCCCTATCTACCACTTTTAATAACTCACTCTCATTTGTTTTTATCTTTTAATTTAAAAAATATCCTAAGTGATTGCTCTGAACCATGGGCCAACGTTCTGCAAAAATTTCATTACATTTTTTTTTTTTTTGGTTAGAGGAAGGTTAAATAAATCACCAGATATTAGCTCCCTAGTATTTTTTCACTCCTCTGATTTAAAATATGGTCAACTTGACTTAGTTCAGAATTACTATATGAATAAATAATTTTAATTTAAAGTGAGTTTTTATGACAAATTATAAATCTACCATTAGTAGGTTATGAGAGTTATGCTGATGTACCTTGAAATCCAGCAGCAAAAGGAGGCAGTCTCAATGAGAACAGTATCAGCCCCTTTAACCAAAGCTGCACATCTCACTTAAATTGAAAGTTTTTGCTCAGCGTTGTCATGCACGACCCAGTGTCGCATAGAAGCACGTACAGTAAAGCTAGAGCACTTCCCAATGGCTTAAATCATAACTTGCAGGGATCAAAGTTCGGAGTCAACAAATAAATGTGAAAAGCCTAGCTTAACAGATGTAAATAAGTTTAAAACATTTGAGAGATTTAGATTCTGTTGCATTCCACTATGTAACCAATTTGGCAATCAGTAATTGTTAAAGCCTTTTAGGAAAGCTATTGGAGCATTCTCCAAAGGGTTTCAAGTTTCTTAGACCATGAAGGAAAAGGCCAAATGCTTGAAGACTTTAACAGCGTACCTTAAAATTCTTCTGTTTCCTCATTTCAATGTATTTCTGTGTATTACGACCATTTACAAAACCACAGGAGAAATGTCATGATTCAAAAGTAAAGAAGCATGAAACCTTGCCTTGTATATCGATTAAACAGGAGGAACTAAAAGGGAGGCCTGAAAACAGGGGAACCAGTTGAATTCTGCTAATAAACTAAAGTAATAGGCACTTGAAGAGTTAAACCCCCCTTTCTGTTGCTGGTGTACTTTCTATGACCCTGTTTAATGCAGAGAAGGTTTGAGATCCCATGTAGTTTTAACCTGTGCTGTCGACAGAGCTATAAACTAAAGCTCCCAACAAATGATACAGAAGGAAGAGATATCAGGCAAACATAGCGTGCTCATAAGCATCCGGTCATAGCCCCATAACCTGACATTTTTTCCACAATAAGTGACACGATTTTATTACACTGATCAAGTAGGTGCTGATGACATCACCGTGTAGATTTTGTCTTCATGCATGTTTTGAAAATGTGGCCCATTGCATCTCTGAATCTGTATCACAATGGTTCAGGCATGTATAAGATCTATTTCAGGCTGCATGGAAGGAGGTAAAAGTAAAAGCTCAAACTTGGCTAAGTTCATATGCTAAACTATTACTTTATAAACCAAAGTTCAGCTCAAAACAAATTACAAATGCGTTTTGTTCTTGACTTTAAACGATCTGTAATGCAATCATGCAACCATTTTAAACTATGGGCTACAGTGGTCCTAGAACACTAGCTCCTCTCATTTTTTTTTTTATACCCCTCTATGATGAGATGATATTAAGCATACCCTTAATTTTTTTTCAACATCTGGCTCAAATTAGCCACTAACAAAACTGCCAACAACTATTTTCTTAATTGAACTTGGGAATATGATATGCCTTGGAAAAAGCACATTTAAACCTTGTCCTTCTCCTAAAGAAACAAAAATGTTTACTTGAGCTTCTGATTCAACTGTAGCAAATCTATGAATAGTTGTCCCAACATCACTGGGGTCAAACACAGTGTTGGTTGTGAACAACAGAGTAGAGCTTTAAATTGATGTTTGATTTTTTTTTTGGTTTTTATCTCCAAGTTGGATCTAGGGAGAAGAGGCTGGAAGGTTTTCAGAAAGCCCTAACTTGGGTTATGTGCTTGTGGGGTGTGAGTACATCTCCTTTCTTATACAAAAAGAAATACTCACCTGCACACTCAAAACCCCACATTAACAAATCAGGAGCTTAATCCTGGTCCTACCGAAGTCAACAGAAAATCTCCCATTGACTTGAGCAGCACAGGATTGCACTGTAAGTGCATCATTATCTGAGGGGTCCATCTGGGTTTCTTTTGCACATGTAACTATATGCACTTGCAAATAAGCTAGATGCAATAAAAGACTTAAACACTTAGTCCTGTGGGGGAAAAAATATGCACTAAAAGCCAATGCCTTGGAAAGCAAGGGTAGTTCTCCAGTTATGAAAGAAGCATTATTACCAGATAAGCTCAAAAACACAACAAACAGACAAAAACTGCAAGTGACATCACTGTTGTTACTGAGAACATGTGGGTGAACTGACAGTGGAAATGCGGTTTACTTTGTAAGAAGACATTAAAATACACAGAAGAATAACAAGCGGCACTGCATACAGAGAAGTCGAAAGCTGCCCACCTGTGTCTGTTGAGGGATATTTACAAAGCTTGGATCCCGTGGTCCAACACTGACGAATCGGTTTGCGGGGGAGGTGCTGGGTGTCGAGTAGGCTGTGAAGGGAAGGGACACATGCGTTGAGGAAGCAGCACTAGATTGCACACAAACAACACCAAAACACACCGTCTCAGAGCCACCTAAGCAGATGTTTAACATGGAAATGTGCAAACGTTTTAGAGAGCAAGAGTTGGATTTCAGACACTGGAAAGGTTTCCTCTTAGTGATGGATATATAAGTACATACATAACTGAGGTGCAGAAGGTAATTCCTTGAAACCTAATAAGGCAATGTACTCAACTGATCCAAAGAGTTTTTAATTTGAGAAGAGTAACACTACTGGCCTTTTGATGTGAGGCTGTACAATGAGCACTGTGGGCCCCGAACCTGGGTGCATGTTCCTGAGTGCCTTCACTCACATACATAAGTTCCCAAGAGTCTTCACTCGCATAGACTTCAAACACACTATTCATGTCAATGAACTTACTCAAGTGCATATTAACAGAATTGGGCCCTTATTTCATTCTAGTGGAGTGCAGTATAAATTATTAAAGCCCTGACTGTCATACTGTTGGGGTCTGCGGAGTCCAAAACATTCATTTGATCTGTTTGTCAAACTAAGAATGTTCTTTTGGTGAAAAATTAATGGGTTACAGTTTGGTTGGGGTAAGAAGTGCACTCAGTCTGAAAACTCCCTTTAAAAATTGGACTAGCTCCCATAAATGTAAAGCTATCAAACGTGATGCAAGCCAAGAAGAACCCAGCTTACTTCCAAACTGGAAGTACTTTAATGATTTTATTGTTGCTCTACAGTTCTCAACTGCAGTTGTCTAGAACTTGATGCACTTCAAATTCAAAAGCTTTCAATACATCTTAAAGTAAGTCCATAGGTCTGAACACCGCACACATGCAGTCACGCGCCCTCCCCCTCTTTCTGCTTTCTGCAAATGCCTGTCTAAACAAAAACAATCCAAAAGTCGTTCTTTCTAGTTAAATACATTTAAAGGACTCGAAACACACTATACTAAATACAAGTCCATAATGTGAAGCAAAAAAAAAGCTGGCTATCCAACTTTCAGATAAAGAGGTAAAAATAACTGTATAAAAAGTGAGCTGTGGCTCATGAAAGCTTGTGCATCTCTGATTCAGTTAGTCTATAAAGTGTACTTCGACCTTGCTTTTGGCCAAATTAAAGTGAGGGCAAATATATAGTTTAGGTCTCATTTGAGGAGAAAAGCAATTGTACTTAAGTATTCCATAAAGATACTAATCTTTTTTTCAGTACAGCTGAAATCCTACTGCTTTTTCAAGGCAAAGTATGTGGTGAAAACTGTTGTGTCAGATGAGTTGTTGGTTTGAGGATTCTACCGGATTCTCGTTTCTTATCGGACTATGAGGAACGGATGACCTCAATGGAAGGATCTTTGAGGAAACAAGGATATGTCAAGTGTGGATTAGACCAATCCTGTAAGAAATTGAATAATTTAGGCTCCTTTTAACTCCTACTAATTTCACTGGGAGCTACAGTCCTCTGCACCTTTTAGGATGGATTCTGTCTTGGAGACTAAGGTGAGTTTTTCCCATTCAGAAAGGCACTAAAACTTGTTCAGACAAAGCGAGTCTGCCTTTCTGTAATTCTTAGCAAAGATTTAATATGAATACAGTGTACAGTAGTTAGGCTTCACATCCCAAGATTATTTTTTCATAGTATTGTACAAAGTGTACAAAGTACAGCATATTTACTGGTACACTGCTTAGTGTTTGTAAGTAATAACTAAATTGCAAATATAAGGCTAAGAGGACGAGTAGAATTTGTGATGTATTTGCTTTGCTTTTTTCTGTGCATGCTCAAAAAAGGCAGTAATTTGCAATAGATATGGCTCATCAATGGTGTCAGTTATTTTATGCAGTATTTTCTAGTTCAGAAATGCTTGAGATAACTATCAGTTAACCTTTGAACCCAACATAAAACGAGAATAAAGATTCTTCCTACAGCAACAAGAGCTGGCTTAGACCTCAAAATCAGAAACCTGCTATCCAGCTCTTTGGATCCTCTTTATGAGGTAAAAAGAGTAGCTCCTCAGAGCAGCTGCCTCCACAGAAACAAAGATCAGAGGTGAATAGAAAAAACTCAAATTAACTTTCCAATTTTCAGTTGCTGCATATCACTACGACGCCTTGCCCTGGCAGATATCTGGTGCAGGAAGATGTGTGCCTGCAGTGCAATGTATAATGTTTTTGGCACTGATGAATATGAGGAGATGGTTTGAGAGTGGAGAAGACATGCAGATGAAGGAAGAACATTTCTTCTGCAGTAAAGTTCACTACTGGCAATTGTCAAATTTGGAGTGAATTTTGGCTTTCGGCTCATACAACAGGATGTTTCCATCCAGCATTATTTTCACTCTGCTTAACTGAGGCAAAATGATATGATAGCTATTGCAAAACCTTGTGATAACTGTAAAGCTAACTTCTGTCCCATTACAAGTGCATATGCAACCACTTTGGACCAACTGGACTTCTGGAATTTATTTGGCCCTTCTATACGAAGAATCCAATATTCTTTCGGTGCTTGACCTACCAGACTGATCTACAAGATGCAATTTATTATTTAAACACTGGCAGTCTCACAAATAAATGGTTTCTTGTTTGCCTGATTTCAGACCAAGGTATTTTCTGGCAAGGCATTACAGAGAATTGCAGGGAAACCACATTAAGGCTACCCTTACTATATATTTGTTCAAGCAGAAGGATTCTAGAGTTCTTTCTCAACTACATACTCCATGTAGAGTCACTTCAGCAAGCTCATGCTGGGGGGAAATATAATAGCTATGTAAAGACATACGCTTTGGTGTTAATAACTGAAACTATTTGTAACTCAGTATCTGAAAATGCTTAAATTTAGATTGGTGCTAAGATATTAAGAGGAAACAGCAACACTAAGTGTTTACAAGTAAAGAATACTGAAACAAGGGACATTTTCTACATATTGTGAATGTCATATCCTATACTGCAGTGTGATGCCACCACAATGATGTGACGCACCAGGGGATATCTAAAGATTGCAATGGTCAGAATATTCATTTTGCTGTGGCACGCTCAGTTGCACTAGTCCCCATCTTGGGATGGGGCGGGTAACAAATAGAGATTCCAGCTACTGCAATACCAACTCTACTTCTTGCAATATCCCATCTTCTCCTTGGACATTTCACACCCAAATACAGTACAGAGTGCTTCCTGCTTGATGTAGGGAGTTGGGCTGATGTGTTTTCCTGGATGTCCTACCATTTCTGACTTCTGGACTCTATTCACTGGTTTTAAGAACTGGAAACACCTTTGGTTGGCTAAAAGTATAGCAAATGAATTTTTTTTTAGATGCAAAAATGTTTTGGGGTGCTATCTTTTATTGGACCAACTGCTCAGGAGAGATTTAGGCAAGCTTTGGGGTAAAAGGCACCTTTACATAGTCTCCTTCACAGTGGTGTTTCCAACTCCATTTTACAAAAGTGGATACACAAGCTAGAGAGAGAGAGTGGGAGCAGTCACCTGCCATCCAATCCTATTCCTTAACCACAAGATCATCTCTGTCGGTTCCTTGAGCCAGATCCTCAGCTAATACTATGCCAGTTTACAGATGAGACCCTGGCTCTTTGTGTTTTAATAAGAATATTTTCCTGATCAGTGCAGTCTTTCTTCTGTTGGAATCTGCTGTGGAGTATTTCCAGCCTGTAGCTGTGGAAATGAACTCGATGCCACAAATTTAGTATGATGCTTCACTTCAGGAACAAGCAAAAGAGAAAGAGCTGGCAGGGAAAGAACACTTGCTCACACAAATAGCTTTGGTATTTAGCCAAAATGGCAAGAAATCCTATGAAAGACAAGACATTACAAACAATGTTATGAATGTGATGTATTCTAAAGTTTTCTGCAGTAGGAAAATGCTACTGTAACAGATACTTTCCCAGAAGACTTGTTGCATACTAATGGGTAGTCTACCTAGCAGTTGTGCCGTAACAGGGAAAACGATCTGCTGCTGATCCGCCTTCCAGGCTGTTCTAATCTAATGTGCTGAGGACCCTCCTGTACACATCAGAAAGAGAAGTATAGGTACCTGGTGTGTACAGCAACAGTGCCTGGACAGGTGACTGATACTAAAAGTTTAAACCCAATACACATCTCCAGTCAGAGGTACAGCCAGCTATACTAAAACACAGCACAAATACAATATAGAATACATTGCATACCAGAGATTCCCTCCAGCTGTGTCTCTTCCAGCACATCACACACGCTGACAAATTAAGTTATCATCGTCATCATGGACTGGGAAATAGGGCCCAGAAACCTGAAATACCTTACCCCAAGGACACTCAACAAATGTATGACAGAGAAATAAAAGCTCCTGATTGTGAGGCTGGTGCTTTAAGCACAAGATCATTCTTTTCTTCTGTCCATGCAATTAAAGAAACTTTCATGTTAAACTGTATATAAAGACATGCTGAGTGGATGCTTTTGCCCTGCAAGGGAAAAGGAAAGGCTCTACCTATGCGCAGTTGTGAAGCATCAGAAAGTTTACCTAAGGGAGCTGTGCCTCTAAAACCAAACCCCACCTTCAAATAGGAAAGCAAATCTTGTGTTGCAATAACAGGGACAGATGCTAACGATCCGGGTCTTTTGTGCTAAGTACTTCACGGTGGCAGAGTGCCATCAGTACACAATAGAAGCAGGGTTTTCTCAGGGCCACAGGGGGTCAACTCCAGGAACCGTCAAGCTTGGAAAAGCAACGTAGGGCCATGTTTATGCTGTGCTGGCTTTGAGTTACCACTAAAACCAAACCTCTTGGACAGGGAGAAATGGGACATGAACTCAGGGTCAGTGTGCAACGCGAAGGTGGGTTTTTTCTACTCTGACTCCTCTTTTGGAGGAAAAGTATAGCATCAAAAATCATAGGTACCATCCCCACAGTGTTATTTCCTCACTGATGGAGGTGCTGGATTTGCAGAAGAGGTCAGACCTTCCCCTGGAAATTCTGAGGCCAACCCTGTAGCCTGGATCATTGTGCAGTAGCACCTGCGTGCACCTCCCTAGGGTCTGCTGCTCTTGGGAGATCCTGTTTTACCCACAGAATTTTAATGTCATAGTTGGAGAGTTTTACTCTTGGGCTCAAAAGCATTAACTACCATGTTATGATGATCCTCTTTTTCAGGAGGGCATGATGTATTGAGCAGCTGCTCCTGGTTTCTGCACCCTTCTGGAGTGCCATATTCCAATTCCTGGTAGTGCTTCAAATGCATTTTGTTTCTGTGGAGGGCTTTATACCAGATCAAGGAAGAGGAAGAGCACAAAACAAATGTTAATCCCTCTTCATTCCATTTCCTTGGGGATTTTTTTCACTTCCATACAGCAAAGGAGGGAGTCTGGCTGAAAGCTAACAGCACTCCCCTGTGACGCGGTTGGTTCTGTTCAGTAAGTTTCTTTCCATAATTGTACATGCTATGGAGGGCAGGCAGCACTGAAAAGGGATACCTCTGCTGATGCACTGGTGCACTGAAAATGCGTAACCAGGGAAAACGCTTACTCATTTGCTTTTGTCAGCCTCTGGTGACTCTAAACTTCCTATTTCCACTCCAATATTTAGTAAAAAATAAAATGAAAAACCCAAACAGCAGCAAATAGTTATCTCAGCAGGGTCCATGTTCTATTGTACCATATTTATTCTAAGCTCAAGACATTGCTTAAGGACACTATGATACAGATATACCTGGATAGTTTTTGCACTTATTAGAGACCCGTTTAGCAGCGAAATCCTCAGTATAACAATTGCAAAGAACAGAAGCAGCAAGAAGTGAGAAGCTGATACTGCACTGGGTATATTTTGGTCTGAGCAAGCAAACCCTCCAAATTACCAACTAAAGAGGGATGCTTCAGTCTATAGGACCATTCTAAATTGTCAGAATATTTTTTGGAAGATTTGTCCAGTGAATGAAACACCTGCAGAGAGGTGAGGGGAAGGCAGGGGACTGGAGGGATATGCCTAATGTCTGTGGGCGACATCCTCTATGCTCATAGTCTGTTGTAAGCACTGAGTATGATGGGCTGGTTCTGATGTGAATGCTGCCCTGCAGATCTCTCGCCATTCTTAAAATCAGTGCTACCTCCTGAAAAAAATCCTGTTGGCTTATTTTGCCTTCCCCTGGCTCAGGTATGAATCTAGTTTTTCTTTGGAAAAAAGGTCCTATAAAATCTACATTTCCAGAGTAGATTACACACTCCTTAAAAATTAGTCCACTGGTACAGTCAAACCATTTAGCCTGCATGATTCTTATCAAATGGAAGGTGCGTGCTCGACTATGTATAGAACTGTATGTTTAGCTATCAGACTGACTAATTACCGAGCGGTAATTATTTTTTCCTAATCTTTTGTTTAAATACCATTAACTAGCTGCTCTTGAAAAAACCTGGATTCCTAATCATCTTGACAGCTGTCAGTTGAACAATCCCAGCCACAATGGACCCGCCCTTCAGCTGGTGTAAATCAATGTGGCTCCCCTGGCTTCAGTGGACATATGCCAATTCTTCCCCCTGCTGAGGATCCAGCCAAGTACACATTTAGCTTGTTTACAGAATCGGAGAATCACGGAAAGGAACGTGAAGATAACTGTTAAAAATGGTGTTTAGACATTTTTTTTCTTTAAGCGCTACAAGCTGCCAGTCAATTATGAGCTATAATTGAAATGCTGACATATTCAATGCACAGATTTAATTTTTCCCAATTCTAAAAGCCTGAACATACTGAGGTATCTCAAGCTGTGCTCAGTTGGAGCTCTGAGTAAACATGAACCTTTTTCACTAGGCTGAAATGCTCACTGCTTGACACACAACCTATGCTGTCCAGTTGAAGGATGCCACACGAAAATGCCACGATCTTCCTGACTTGGCACATGCCTCGAGAAACCAACCACATCGCAGTCTGGTCTTGAAGGGGTGAATTACCTGAGCTGTGCCCGAAGCTTTAAAATTTTAGGCTCCATATGTTTTGAATAACACATATCTCCTTGGGTAGCAAGCAGCATGATATGTAACATTTAAATAATAAAGCTTCAAAGCATGCACAGGGAATTGCTTTTTTTGATTAGATTGATTGGTGGGTGTGTGGACATCTTGGACTCACCTCATTGTGGAATAAGTCACCTACTGTTGCCATTAAAGCACTGAAAGTTTCCCCTTTGGTTTTAAATGCCAATTTGTTTGTAGCTTCATTAAATCATTTTGTAATTAACTCCCGGCGTATCCAGATTTTTTACAGCTTTAAGCCCAGCTGTAGCAGATTTTGTTTCCCAGCAGAGCCAGTCCAAAACAGTATCCCCATGTGTACATGCAGGAATTTGTGTATTTGACTTGTAGCTACACAAAATGCACGAGGGGGCTGTGCGGGTGGTATGGAAAGGATTGGAGGTTTCACCCTGGGCAGAAGAAATACCCTAGCGGTCTGCACAAAATGTAGAACCTGCCAAGGAGCTCAGTCATAAGGGAAATGAGTCCGAGTTTCTCTAGAAAGGCGTATTCCAGGGAGAGCTGTAAAAGGAGTGAGCTCTGAGGACTTGTCAGTTTAGTCTAGCATGTCCAAGAAGCAAGTCTGTGTGGGTCTCTGTCTGCCTTCTGCAGAGCTCCCATACATCCTGTCTTGCAACACGTGTGAAAAGCCGGCCCTGTGGACTCTTCAGGACACTGCCAAAGGTCCTGAGTGTCCTAGCCCCCTCCCCCCCTATTTTAGCTGCTGGCTGCTAGCTGTCTCAGATGTAATTATGTGCACTGCCAGCAAAAAATCAAGTTGGTTGTGTATGAGGGAAAATAACAAGCTCATAATTTTTTGCCAACCTCACGCAATCTGCTCAAAGCATAGTCCACTCCTCCTCATCTGTGACCAGAACGTAGCTATGGCAGTTTGTGGATAATGAAACCCTTGGTTCCTTGTTGCGTCCGTACTTACTTGGTGAAGTGGGGGAGGTGGCCCCTCCTTCTGTCGATGTAGTTGGAGGTTTTGTGTCTGGCACTGGCAGAGGCACAGGCCTAGCCATTGGTGGCGGAGGTGGTGGTGGCAACATTGGGGTAGGAAGGAATGGATTGTGCACCTTGCCTTGGCTGCTACCATTGGGCTGCCAAAAAACAAACAAACAAACAGACATCAGCTATTAGGAGCCTCTGGTAATGGGAGAGTCATGTTTACAGTTTTGTGCATTAAATTCTTAACTACTCAATGCTAAGGAAGCAAAGATGCTGGAATGAAAGCCTGCTGTGCCCTATACTTCATTGACTTCAATGGATTTGGCATCATACCTCACATCTGGCTTCCAGTAACTATTTTAGATCTTTTAAACCCTTTTCTTTAAGACGGTTACTCAATTTAGTGGTCCTGGTAAAACTGTTTTGCCCAAGATAATAACAGGTAGAGTCATTCTGGACCAAGTTCTGCGTGCACTGTAACATGCACCACTGAGCTAGGTAGGGTGCATACTTAGGCAGAAATTTTCCAGATTCATGCCTCTCCTGTTCTCTTTGGATATCTGTGCCTGGGACTTGAGTACAAATTTCTTTCTGCTGTAAGGAAGCCTTGGGGAGAGTAACTGTTAATTACACTGCCAGGACTGGAAAACGTCCGTAGGTAGAAATAAGGACCAGCCCCACTGACCCGAAGAATGTAATTACTGGAGTTTGTGGGACTGAGGCCTGAGTAGGAAGCCATTCTTCAGGAATATTTATGTTTCCAACATCCAGTACCTTTAATAAACTAGTATATTTAGTCACATGTCTCAAACACTATCTTGTCTTACAAATAAGTCACTTTCCTGCCAAGCAGACTTTTGCTGTATGTTCATTGTGAGTATGCTAGCAGTTCATAATGCTGAATGGTTTGGGATAAACTAAGCAAATGAATACTCAAGGAAAAAGAAAAGCACTATATTGATTTGTTGTCTAGACATAAATGTATCTGCTAACATATTGCAGACATTATTCAAAGCTAGTATTGGCTGGGTTATGCAGAATAAGGTTTTTTTTTTTAGGTGAGGAGAAAAGAGGATTGAGGACACAGAACCTTTTTAAGTAAGTGTAATAAATTAGATGCTAAGACTCATGTTAATTCTCATTAACACTCTCAATATTGTGTGTATAGGAAAAAAATAATTTTGCCAGTTGTTATTTCATTGGTGGAATACAGTCACAAGCATTATATTCCACAAAACATTCATTACAAGATTTAGATATGATTTACATAAAGTTTATAAACTCTGCATTTGACTGGAGTGTTATTTCAATAATGTGAAGATGATGATTCACTTTATTTGATTAAAAAAATGAAATTGCTTATTTGAAGCTTTGGAACGTAGCTTAATTTTTCATGGAGATAAGGGGAAGAGATAACTGCTTACAGAAATAACAAACCATAATAAACTGTACTTTTAACATCTTGAGTTCAAGTACTGGTCAACTTGATCTAAAGGGCTATACGGCAGTATTTTTTTTAAGTGAACTTAGCTGATCTGAAACATCTGTTTCTCACCCTCCCTTTTCCTGCTCTTCCCCCCCCCAACTCTAAAAAATAATTAATAAAAATTATTTGGACCTTGTATTTTGCTAACCCTAGTGGAGCTAGGGTTAGGATGCATGAGGCTGAATTATTTGTAGAGAAACCTCAGAAGGTCATAGACCTACCTCCCTATCAGACAGGCTGAGTTAGTATTACCACAGTGTAAAAAAACATTTCCCAGGAGTCAGCAATTTTTTTTCTGGTGGCAACCGTTCAAGGTGCAACGTTCATGATGGGCGCAACACATTAAGAGAATTCCATGGTTATTTTACACAGGACAAATACTTCTGAAGAAATAAAAACGGTTTCCTTACATTTAGGAACCCCACCTGTCCAGCCTGCTGACCAGCGTCGGGGCAGACAAGTTGGACAAACTCTTTCAGAGTCTCCTGAGGATGATAGCGAATTGCTGGGTGTGAGAAGTATGGCCCAGGCTGTTGAATAATGGGTGATGTTGGAAAATGAAGAGTCGATGGTGTTGCATGTGGACTTGCTATAGGAAAGAAAACAAAGAAGTTACAGCGAGTAGATTCTGCCTTGGATAAAACAGTTCAAATCTACTGTAGCTCTAGCGTAGCTGTGATTTTTTAAATGGACAGTCTTTTTATACAACTAACCTTCACAAATGGCATGGCAGACCGTATTATATCCTAAACTCACTTCAGTCCAATCCTCAGGATAAAGAAGCTAGATATTTCTGAATGATTTTCAGTATTTTTAGTGGACGTTTATAAAGGAATCAGCAGTCCTTGGTAAAAGTGATGACTATTCATTACCTTAAGAGCCTTTCTAATGAATCAAGCAATAAAAAATGTATTTGGGAGATTAGGCTTGATTTAATTGACATTTCAACTAACTCTAGTTTGCACATATGGATCCGTTTTTATTTTATACTATAAATGGTCAATAATTTAATGACACTTTTCTACCTCTTGCTATTTTTTTTTTCACCCCAGTTTGGGAACATTTGTTTTATGTGAAATGCTTTCTTTTGCTGAACACATAGGAAATGGCAAGCCTGCTTTCAGAATGATGTTTACTTTTCTCCGGAACAATTTTAAGGTTTCAAACAAGCCCCTAGGCCACATTGAGAGACGATGCTGAAGGGAATTAAAATTGGGAAATTAACATGATAAAGAGCCACAAGGTAGAAAGACAGCAGGAAAACATACTGACTGGACAGTGACTGTATATAGTGACGAATCCCCTTGGCAGTGACAAATTTGTTCTCAGTTTTAGCCACATAAGGCTACTGATTTTTTTAAAAGATTGTACAGGTAAAACCAGGGCAGAATTATAACCGCATAGTTTAACTGATACCTTAATCCAGCCACTTGGAATTTGAGTTATATCACACTAGATCCTCTTTTGCTCATATCTGTTTACACCTGCTCACCCCTGTGAAATGAAATGCCGACATTTACAGACTCCGGAATTTTTCCCTTTTTCTCTAAAATAAGTTTGTCCCTCCTGCATAGAAGCATAGTGGTTTAGTAGGACACAAGCTCTTCTCATATCCAGGGTACTTGTCTCACCAAACACTAATCACTGCACCACTGCTGCTCCTTCACACACTGGCCCTATTAAACTTTTATGAATTTCTTGCTCATGCACTACATCTGTAAACCACAAAGAACTGATCTGATAAGAGGTATACATGGCATTCAGTATCCAGAAGAAATTCTTGCATTGGACTTAGGGCAAAGGTGCAGTTACACATCACGTTTGGGAAAAGTTGAAGAGTAAGCCAAAATCAAAGAAGAGCAATAAATATTCATTTCACAATGGCTGTTATAGAAAGACTTTTACTAAACAAAAGCTAATATCTATTTCTCAGTTTTCACTCCTTGCCAGTTTGAAAGCATGTTACTTTATTATTACTTTTTTGCTTTAATGCTCATGAAAAATTTAACAACTTCGAAGCCTGAAGTTATGGATAAAACATACACAACAAAGGTAGCAGCAAGCCAACTTTCTCAACGTGATCCTGCTTGTGGTGGGGCTATGTTTGAACCAGTATGGGATAGTTTGGTGTTCATGCCTATTTTTGAATGAATGGTTGCAACAACCAAGGCTGCCAGGGAGAATTCCAGTCATGGTTGATAAGTTCTGGACAACTAGAAATAGTCCTCGGTAAATGGACTAAACCTGTCCAGCCCAGCATCCTACATACCATGCCACTTTGAGATATCAATCATCATATAGTATAAATGTCAATGACTACTAATGGATGGATGTGAATCTCTGTCCTAGATATGGCGAACTTTACATCCCATTATAAACCTTTGAGTTATCCAGTCCTCCCAGCCCATTTTCCCAGCCCGTGGCTCTTTTGGAAATAACGGGAGTGTGAAGAATTGTATTCTATCTTCCTTTTTCACTGGGGTGTGCACACAAGCATGTGTCTTGGATTTTTAAGTTAATTTTACATGGAAGCATCTTTATCCTTATTGTTTTTAAAAGCTAAAGAATTATGTACTTGTAAGATGCTCAGGTTAGAGGTGTTATCTTTTTGTTTTCTTGATAACTCTAAGAAGAGAGAACCCAACCCCTTCAGAGAAAGGGGGGAGAAAGAAAACTATCCCACTGTGAAGAAAGTTTTTATGCTAACATTTTCATGTCCTTAGATCATTTGTACTTGTTATATGCAAATTTTATTTGGCGCTTTTTTTTTTTGTATTTACCAAGGAAAATGCATTTTTTAAAACCAGATGTGTTAATGGTATTTGAAATTGTTATGATGCTATGGTATTATCTTGTGCTTAAGTGACATGCCTCTAGGTGTGTGGTACTGTGAAGAAGAAAAAAAAAATCTGCTAAAAGAAAGAAAGGAAGCCACAAAAACATGGAGATTCAGCGTTTGCATAGATATACTGGATATGTTCTTATATACATAACTGCTCAATAATCTCCCTATGGAAAGTGTGCACACAGAGGAGATAAGTCAATCACCAAGATTAAATTATGCACAAAATTCTCATAGGTTTAGGGAGGCAGAAATACTGCTGTAGAGAGAAGCTGTTTCCCCTGGGCCTTTCATTCTACTTCACTCTTTTTGTATGCTGTGCATTAAATACCCATCACACAAAACCAGGAACACACATGGAAGGTGGTACAAAAAGCTGTGCTAGTAGCTTGGCTCTCCAGCTGTGTACAGGCCCTTTCTGAGGAGCACAAGGGTTGTGTCCACACAAGTGTGGACGTATGGTTCCCCAGGAACAACCAGCAGCAGTGCACCTTGTGCCACCGCTACATGTCCCCAGGGAATGCCCGAGATATGCGCCCCCTGGTGCACAGCAGGTTACCCCGGGTGGGGTAGGGGAGGCTGGGGCCAGCACTGGGCTAGTCCCAGCAGCTTTGCCTGGGATCCTGGGGGCTTCCTCGGGCTGCAGATCCTGTCGTGTGGAGCCTGGCTGGCAGCGAGAGCGTGGCTCTGGCTGGTCAGGCTCCAGTTTTGAGCAGGCACTGCTCCGCTCTTTTTCTGACCCCTGGATATGTGGTATGTGGCACCGCAGACAACTGCGCTCATCTGAACGTGGCCAAGGAGGCAGGTCTGGGAAACAAGGCTGGATAAGCAGCCATCCCCAGACAATGCAACACCTACTAGATTAGTGGAATCTCATTTTCTCCAAATGGATGATCCAGCACTTAACGCATGAGGTAAGGGACAAAGCTTCCCAAGGATTTGTTTTTAGCATCCTATTGACAGTATCAGTGTATCTTAGCTAGCCATAGGAAGGGTTAAGGGTTGGTTTATCAGCATGAGACTCCATTGTAATTAACCTGATTAACATTACAAAGGTGACATGTCAAGTGCTTTTGAGTTTTGAGATACGGTATGCTAACCATTGAAGTCCAAGAACCTGTCCATTAGATGTAGATCCTGGGTGTCAAGCTTCCTTGGCCCTCTAGGCTGGATTTGGTCTATGGAGAACCTTACATGCCAGATCAAGATCACAGGGAGCCTCAGGGGCTGAATCCAGACCTGCCTCCAGCTGCAGGGCAAGTGGTGGTGGCATTTACCACCACAGGCCCTTGAGCTTTGCATCGTAATGTATCTGTTGCTTTCCCCATCGCTGCACACTCATGCTCCCCAGTAGGGCTCCATGTTCCAGAATTTGGTGGTCCTCCTGCCGTCACCCAACCCCTGGATTCCCAGCCCTTCCAGAAGTCCTGCAGGCTGGCTGATACAGCTCAGTGGACCAGATCCAGATCCAAACCCTGATACAAGTGATTAGCTGGATCCACTTTGGCAGATCCTACACTTCTAATAGTCTGTCTGCGAGAGAAATACACATGAAACAAAATGCCAAGAGACTTCCCTCACTGCAGAAAACCAGGAATATGGAATACCACTGGGTTACTGAACATGTAAATCACTGTGAACACTTTTAATTGATCAGAGGATGTGAAGCCTTATTCAAATTCAGGCTGGTATTACCCCTCCTTAAGTCTCCTAGGATCTTCCATAAAGTCTGAATTTTCCTCCTGTTTCTTGTTATCTCAACTGTATCTTCATAATTTACTTTATATGAATTCTCTTCCCTCCCTTCATTGCTCCTCAAACAGAAATTTACACTGGTGATATATATTCAGCTCTGCACCCTTGACATTACTTTAATTCCCTCTTCCCTTTTCCATAAGCTTTCAGAGATTCACAGATTGGACAGAGACTTGTTGCTTTTGGCATTGGCTTCTTACATAGATTCCCAGTTCCGTAGGAGGATCCCGACAAATCCTGCCAGCAGAGCAGTGCAAATAGTAAAACTCAATCTACCTTCAGGTGTGGTGTAATCTAGTGTTCATGTTTTAGGCACATTCCTTCCCTGCCATGGGAATGAAGCATTACAGCATAGCTTAGCTTTTGCAAAACTGTACCATCTCAGTTGCTAATCATTAATAATCCAGGTATAAGTGAAAATCCTGACTGAGATGTTTTACTTAGCCAGGGACATTACATTCTGTGTCCATACAGCAACAAGAAATTTGTTATCAAATTGCGCATGAAGGGAATGGCAGTCTACAAATTCTTAGGGATTGGTATGTCCATGCAAGGCTTTCAAAGGGTAAAGGTTTATGAAGACCCTGCACAGAAAACGTACTGCTTTGGTTGACAGACTTCCAGCCTGTTACCTGTAGCTTCATCTAAGTATCAGTGCGCAAGAGTAGGACTCACAATACCAAGTTTATGGGTCCTAATTTTGAAAATGACTCACCTCTCACCTAGAGCAAATCACTGCAGGCAGTGCTTTCAAGTATTCATTTATATGGTCAGCTCAACACTTCTGAGAATCAGACCCTCAATTTACTCCATACAGTCACTTTTGAAAATGCGGCTCTTAAATCCTGTGCGTGTCAGTTCCCCCATTTGTATATTGGGTATCGTAGTATTTACTGACTATACTTTGGGGTACTATGAACCTCAATCTGGTATTCTCTGTAAGTTGTAAATTGCTTTGAGATCCTCAGATGAAGGCAACATAGAAATACTAC